ACTGCGGTGATAATGGTGACACTGAGGAAGCATTACTACCAGAATATTTAAATACTTTATCTCTGTCATGTCTTCCACCTTATGAATTGCGTTTAAAACCAAATTGTGCCATTATGTTGATTAGAAATCTCAGTATCAATGAAGGTCTTTGCAACGGTACTAGATTAATGATTATAGAACTTGCTGATCATTTATTGAAATGTAAAATCCTAACAGGTGATAAAATAGGAGATATTGTTTTTTTAAATCGTATAACGCTATATTGCGAAAATGTATATCCTTTTACTTTTAAAAGAAGACAATTTCCGATAAAATTAGCTTTTGCTATGACAATTAACAAATCACAAGGGCAAACATTTGATATAGTAGGAATAGATCTTCGCAAAGATGTTTTTAATCATGGACAACTTTATGTGGCCTTTTCACGAGTACGTACTTGGCAAGCGTTAAAAGTTTATCTTGGTAGTCAGCGTGACAATAAACAAATTAAAAATTATGTATATAAAGAAATATATGTATGATTTCTTTTCTCCTTTAAATTTTATATATATATATATATAGTTCTTGACATAATTATGTGATATGTTCGTATATATAATAATAAAATGAAAAAATATATAGAGCTAAAGAAATAATGGCGCGCGCGAAGCGCGCGCTTTGTGTTGTTCTAGTATAATAAATTGTTCAAAAATATACTTTTGTAAATGTACTACGTATTTCCAAATTATATAAAAAATTTTAATTTAAAAAATGTATGTTAATCGTACAACACAACAGAAATTTACTTTACTAAAACTTAATTTTTTGTCCTTAATAATTTTAATGTTATACAATTTATTTCCAAGTTATATAAAATAATTAAATTAAAAAAACATGTTAATCGTACAACACATTAAAAATGTACTTTGCTTAAACTAGTTATTTTTTCTTCAACATTTTTTGTGTGACGTATTTTCCAAGTAACATAAAATATATTCAAAAAATAAAAAAATTCTGTTGCATAAAGCCAGCGGCACACGATGCTTTCTTTCCTGCTGGATTGCTAGCTGGATTTGCGTGCTTGCTGCCGTGTTGGCAACAGTGCTGGCTGAATTTTTCCTTCAACATTTTTTGTGTGACGTATTTTCCAAGTAACATAAAATATATTCAAAAAATAAAAAAATTCTGTTGCATAACACAATAGAAAAGTATTTTGCTTAAACTTAGTCATTTTTTCTTCAACATTTGTTAGCGTGACGTATTTTCTAAGTTATATAAAATATTTGAAAAAATAACAAAATATATTTTAATTAACACAACAAAACAGAAATATACTTTGGTAAAACTTTTTCCATAATATTTTTTAATGGAATGTATTTTTGAAGTCTTTAGTATTCGTTCACTCATAATTGTTAGAATTAGTGGAACTGTACTGCACTTTGTTATCTATTTTTTGCAATTTTATAATGTTTTCCTGTTCGTTTACACAAGGTTTCAAATTAACAATTACCTTTGGTGCAGTATTAGATGGACGAAAGGTTTCAATATGTGGGCGTAATGATGAAATAGAAGAATTGAAAAATTGAGGAATCATTAAATTATTTAGAGGAGTAGAAGTAACCTGATTGTGAATGGGATTAGCATTTTGGAAAATATCCCTTAAACCATTTAAAAATTGATTAGTTGTATCCTGAAGAATATTTCTTTGGCTTTGTAACATACTATCGACTATCTCTTTTTGTATTTTTTGGTCCGATTCTATTAAACTTTTAACATAATCTTGTGTCTTTTTCATAGTTTTGGCTTGAATCTCTTCATAATTCTTATTTAATTTGTCAGCGTACTTTATAAGAGCACTGTCATACGTTCTCTTTCTGCTCTTTTCTTTAATATTAGACATTTTTGATAATTTAGTTAATGAGTTTTCTACAACAGATTCTTCTGATGTTGAATCTAAATTCGAAGAACATCCAGGAACAGATACATTTTGAACATCTGTAGAAGCTAAAAATAAGAAAAATAAATCGTTTATCATTCAAAATTGATTTGATTTATATATAATTACATAATACAATTCTATTTATATAATATAAATACATTTTTCATTCTCCATTCGTGATTCTTGTGATGAAGAACTGTCGATATTATTTTGTACAGAAATGGGTCGAGAATCCAATAATCAGCCATCTCACTAGCATAAGGAAAGTTCGACAAATAATTGCCAGATCCACTTTTATTCATCTTTCTTCGGATGTCATTGTATTGATCTTAAAAAGTTTATTTTAATAACTTTATTTATATAACATTACGTATTAAAGTCATAATGTAGGTTTCTTTTCCTATGCAGAGTCTACAATACAAGTTGTAGCGATCACAGAGTCTTAAGTCGTAGAAAATTTACCAATCAGTCAAATATGAAAAGAATAATTGCCTATGATTGATTAATTTTCTACGACTACGATCGCTACGATTTCTATTGTAGACCCCCCATACTATGTATTTTTTTTACTTACGTCGTAAAGTCTTAAATCGTGTCTGCATTTGCCTCCAATTTTTATTATAACCTTTCTCAGCCATAAAATTTTCTAAATGTTTAAAAATATCATCTGCTCTAAATTTTTTAGTATCTAAACTTTTCATGACTTGTCTTTCTTTTACTAGTCTGAGAAAATATTTAGTCTCTTCAGTTTCCCAACTTTCTCTTTTCTTGACATCGATTTTGAGACTGTCTACACAATACTGTGATTTAACTGATGAGTTTTCTGCAACAGATTCTCCTGATGTTGAGTCTAAATTCGAAGAACATCCAGGAACAGATACATCTTGAACATCTGTAGGAGCTAAAAATAAGAAAAATAAATCGTTTATCATTGAAAAGTGATTTGATTACATTATATAATGACAATTCTATATAATTATAATACGTTTTTCATTCTCCATTTCTTATTCTTGTGATTACTACCGACCATCAATTCAAAATACCACAATTTTCTTTCTTTAACGTCTTCTGAAATTAATAAAGCTTTCCAATAAGAAATTCCGATGTAATGGCATGGCATGAATATCATTAAACTCGTAGTATTTAGGTTGGCAATACAAGTGTAACAACCGCTCCTTGCGTTTACACGGTATTCTAAAACCGGTTTTCTGCAACAGATTCTCCTGATGTTGAGTCTAAATTCGAAGAACATCCAGAAACAGATACATCTTGAACATCTGTAGAAGCTAAAAATAAGAAAAATAAATCGAAATTGAAAAGTGATTTGATTACATTATATAATGACAATTCTATATAATTACGTTTTTCATTCTCCATTTCTTATTCTTGTGATTACTACCGACCATCAATTCAAAATACCACAATTTTCTTTCTTTAACATCTTCTGAAATTAATAAGTCTACACTTTTATAAGTCTACACTTCTTTACTATCAGATGTAAAGTAACAACTACTGATGTTATAACACCAACGTTAATCACCGTTTACACGATATTTAACGTTAGTAGTTATAACTACTGTTGTTACTAAACCTGTCGTGTAAACGTAATCAATTGATTAAGCGGCAGAGAGTGGGAGGCGGGTTCTTGAGCATGTGATGGATGTCGATAGGGGACGAAGGGAAGTACGAGTCACGAGGGTCGTCTGAAAAGTTTTGAGCCTCATCATGAAGATGGCGTTACTCGTCAAAGCCATTTTGGTATTATAATCGTGATACTTACGAAAGATATCTGTGACAATTGTGGCCACTTTGGACGTTCAGTTCTTGTTTGACAATCATTTGTGTCGTCATTTGGTAAAAATGAAAAAAATTGAATATCGTGCTATAATTAAATTCTTGTATTTGAAAGGCAACGTCGGGTGGCACCCAGTTGGACACGGCTCAATTGGACACGAGCCACTCACATCGCTTGAGACTACAAAGCTCCGGGTGGCACCCAGTTGGACACGGCTCAATTGGACACGAGCCACTCACAGCGCTTGAGACTACAAAGCTCCTAAGCACCGGTCGCTGTGATCAAGGTCCGTGGATTGGCGTTGGAGGGGAAGAAGGTCGTTGCATGGCCGTCATTTTCGAGACAGCGAGTCAGTGTTAGTGTACGTAGGTGCTACAGCTATTAATTGTGTGAGTGAGCGAGTGTGCAGTAAAAGTATGTACAATGCCAGGTTGTTGTGCAAAAAATTGCAAAAATAGAAGCGAACATGGTTTTCGAATGTTTTTGTTTCCTCGGGATGAGAAACGAAGACATTTGTGGGCTGAAAAATGTGGTAAAAATCCAACACAGAATTCTAGGTTATGTGAGGTATGTAAATATGTTATCGATTTTTTTTATTATTATTAGAATATATTAAGTAGAATATATTTAAACATTTAAAAAATGCTTTCTCTTCTATAGTATAATTTCGATGATTTGCAATTCGAAAATCGACGAGAGAATGGATGGCGGAAATTGAAACCCAATGCAATTCCAACTATTTTCGAAAGCAACGAAATTAATTCTGATATATTAAATGATCAATCTTTAATTGGTAATAATTCCAAAATAATTCAATTATTTTCTTATGTTATCGTAAATATAATTTATAAACAGATATGTATATATATATAATTTTACACAATTCTTACTGTTTGTAGGGCATAATATTCAACCAGAAAATTGTGCTAATTTATCTAATTGTGATTTATCATGTAATGACAATTTTGGATATAATGAAAATGTTACTACTAAGAATTTACCAAGTGAACAACAGACTATCAGTCCCAATTGCCGTACATGCAAGTGTTCAAACGGATAATGAGATAAGTGGACAGAATTTACAAACAATGTTCATGACAAATGAAGAGGGAACTATTCGACAAACCAATCAAATCAAGTATTTGCTCAAACAATTAAAGAAAGAACGAGTAAAAGCTAGTACTTTCAAATCCAAATATGAAAATGAAAAAGTATTGCGATTTAAGACAACAAAAATTATGAAAAAGTATAAGAAAAGATACACAATATTGTAAGGAATTTATATATTGAAGATGGAAGGAAAGGAAAATAAATATCTTAGTCTTTTCTTAAGTGTCAGGAAATGGATTTAATCCGAGGATACTAGGATTTCTTAGATGAAGTGCGGTATTTATTAAGCAGGCGCGATCAATTTAACTGCGAACACTGACTTTATTACAACACTTACAGAACTGACCCCACAAGGAGTAGGGGACTTATTAGTGGACTGAACGCAGACTTGTTCACAGAACAATATCTTGAGGTGAAGCCGGAGAGAACGTGTGCTCCGAACGACGTTTCATAGCGAAGTCGTCGTTGTCGTTAAGTTGTTCCGGAAATTCGTTGCCGGAGCAGAGCTGTCGTTAATTACTCTAAATCTCTGGACCTTGCCAGATGTCAGAAGCGTACAGACAGCGGATTTTTACGATTATCTTACGATATTTCTTACAGTTCGGCCGTTCTGCATATTCATTCGGCTCGAATGACCCTTTTATTTATTTATTCATCTATTTATTACAGAGATACAGCTTACATTTACTTAACTGAGTATTACATATTTTTAACAATCACTGAGGTAGATCGGAACTTATGAGTAAATTGACAAATATACATACATATAGCTTAATCTATTGACGGTGGCTGCGGCTGAATCCACGGTTTTATCTTATCCGAAGATAATATGGCAGAGTACGGTTTCTGTGTCAAATTGAATCCGGGGATATCCGAAACCAGATAACGGTTATACTTGAGGCATTTCTCAATTTGATACGGGCCTCTATACGGCGGGTTCAATTTTTGGTTTTGACCCGGTTTCGACTGCAGCCGTCTTATCATTATATAGTCGCCGACCTTATACGCTGTCGGGCTGATGTGCCGACGATCGTAATACGCCTTATTGTATTCTTGTATTCGGCGAGTAGTCTCGACCGCAATGTCGCGGCTAGTTTCTCTATTTTTAACCAAATCATTATCGACGTTAGCTAATCTATCGAGTAATTCGGTAATCAACTTGTCCGAGTGACCGCGGCACTCGTAACCGAAAAATAGTTTGGAAGGCGTGTTTCCGACACTTTTGTGGAATGAGTTATTTAGGACATATTGTACTTTATCTAGACATGCCTTCCAGTCAGTTGTTTCTGTTATCAATTTTTTAAGAGACGACTTAATGAAACGGTTAACTCGTTCGACAAGACCGTTGGCCCATGGCGAGGCCACCGCGATCAGACGATGCTTGATCGTTTGTTTGTCTCCGACTTCTAATTCGTGCGTTAATTGCTTGAGATGTGCATCTTGCAATTGTTTCAATTCGAGTTCTTTTTCTATCGGAATATTATTTACAAAATTTACAATGCGACTTAGCGCGTCAACATGGGCCATTTTCTGGCCCGACCGATGTTTTAATTCAAACGAATAATTTTGAAGTGCAAGAGTCCATCTGGCAATACGCGGGTTCAAGTTAGTCTTATTTACAGCGTATACTAGTGCGTTACAGTCTGTGACAATGGCAAACTTGAGCCCATACAAGTAGATGTGGAATCTTTCCACTGCTCTAACAATAGCGAGCATTTCCAGCTCGAAACTATGGTAGTTTTGTTCCGACTGATTAGTCGATTGGCTGAAGTAAGCCACCGGCTTCCAGTCGTTATTTGGTTTCTTTTGCAACAGAATGCCGCCCAGCCCGTGTATGCTGGCGTCGGTATGTAACTGACCGTTTATCGAGGACAAAGATGAGTTTCAGCAAGAGGGTTAAATAGACATAAGACTGGGTACGAAGTAAGTTCGTTTTTAAGACTATTGAATGCTTCGAGACAAGTATTGTCAAAATTAAATGTGACCGATTTTCGTAATAGATTGCGAAGAGGTTTTGTTTTAATGGAAAAGTCTCGAATAAATTTGCGAAAATAATTCGCTAAGCCAAGGAATCTTTGAAGCTCAAGTATATTACGTGGTGGTGGAAATTGGCTGATTGCCTCTGTATGTCGCGAGCTTAACGTGATCGTGTTATGAGAGACCATGTATCCAAGGTATTCAATCTTTGTTCGAAGAAATTTACACTTGCTGAAATTCTGTTCGAAGCCGTATTGCTTTAGCGTTACCATGACCTCGAATAGTGTTTTCACATTTGCCTCGACCGAATCCGAGGCTAACATGATGTCGTCGATGTAAACAATCGCACGACCGTCCTCGATAAACGGTTTAAGAATATTTACGAGTCTCTTTTGAAACTCGGCTGGTGATTCTGAGAATCCGAAAGGTAAACGAGTGAATTCGAATTGCCCGTCCGGCGTAGTGAACGAGAAATACTTCGTATATTTTTCGCCCACCTTGATCTGGTGGAATCCGTCACGCAGATCGAGGAGGGTGAAAATTTTCTTTTCCCCTAGTAATGCTATACAATCTTCGATGACTGGAAATGGGTATTTTTGCTTGATGACCCTTTGGTTTAGCGGGCGTAAATCCACGCAGAGACGCATGAGCCCGTTCTTCTTTTTCACTGGCACGATTCGTGCACAATATGGCGATGTACTTTTCCGGATGATACCTCGAGATAATAGATCGTTAACAATTTCGCGGATTTGTACTTTCTCGGAGTAAGCAAAACGGCGTGGCGAATATGCGAAAATTGATTCGTCCTTAAGACGTATTTCCACGCTATACTTATCGTCGATAATTTCTATCGGTGCATTATCCACCTTAATTAATGTGTCAATTGGAAGTTTCTTACACTCGTCATCTAAGTCTATCTCGATTTCATCGTAACGGTCTTCATTATCTCGAGTTTCGATACACGCGAGAATTTGTAGCAAAGTTCGCGGGAAAAGCGGAGGCGCGACACTACTAACCTCGACTGGTTTGTAGATGGCAGTAATCGCGTGTGCGTCCAAAAAGTCTCTCCCAATGATAAAATCGGTCGAGAGAGAATCGCTCTTTAAAACGTGTAGCGTGATTGTAAATATTCGTTTCCCTAATTGCGCTAATGAAATCGTGGTCTCTACCGCTCCGTGAATAGCCACAGGTAGGTTATTCACCGCTTTATATGTTCGTTTCGGTAGCGCTAGAGCATTCGTATAATTCTCTAAAAATTTGTAAAAAGCAGAAGGCTTGATAAAAGATATAGGACTTCCGGTGTCCAGCAGAGCAGTTAACTCGCATGCATGGTCGTTTAAGGTGCTAACCTCTAACGTTGGTCCGTTGACAATGATCTCCGGTACCTGAAGTTGAATATGAGCCACGGTGTCCTCGGAGGTTGAGTCGACTGCTGTCACGGCGACGGAACTGACTCGTTTCCTGGGAGGTGCCGCGACTGAGCTGGGTACGGTATCCCGTTCCTCTCGACGTCGTTTGAAGCACCTCTCGATCGTGTGTCCTGGCGCCTAGCAATACTTGCAGGTACGTTTCTCCTTGGTTTGCCCCTTGGTCTCAGTCGAAGGCTTGGTTGTCTTCGACGTGACCTCCGGTGACCTTGACGATCTCTGGCCTGCGTTGAAGTGCTGGTCCGTGTCTTTAGATACCGATGTGATCTGTTGCATTTCCTGCAGGAAGGCGTCTATAGAGTCCGTCTTTAAAGCAATAGCCGTATGTCTTAACGATTGATTGGCAATGCCGCTGATCAAAAGGTGGATTGTGCTGTCCTGCGGTAATTCAAGATCATGCATGAGCGTCAACTTGTCTGAGCAATATTCGAGGAATGATTCCTTTCCGAAGTTCCATTTGCGTGCTTCTACTTTTTGCATCGCAACATGGTACACTATTTTGCGCGAGTATCTTTTAACGATTGCGTCCTTAAGACCTGTCCAAGACTCGAGCATTGGGCCGAGGTGCATCTCGTACTACCGTTTAGCCAATTTAGTAAGCTTGCTAGAAGCAGCGATTAATATGACATCTTGTGATACCTGGTGAATGTGGGCGACTTGCTCGACACGTTTGACCCACCAGTTAACGTTTTCTGTCTCCAGTTCTCCGAATGAAGGAATTTGAGTCGCCAGCGTTGTAATCGCGTGTGACGACGCACAGGAGGTGATATTAGAACCTTGCGATCGACGTGTGGACCCTTGACTCCTGGGTGACGTAACTTCTCGCTCGGTTCGCTCCGGTTGACCCTCGTCAGCTCCTGTAATTCCGCCGATCGATGGTGCTCCGGATCCGTTGCTTTGATTCAGCACATGTTGCATTAATTCCTGCTGCGTTCTCAGCATTTGCAGGATTTCCTGGTGCATTTGTTGTATCGGGTTGACCACCGTTGTCAACAACGATGCCACATCGGCAGAAACTTGCCAAGTTTGTATGGTTGTCGACGAGCCAGCAGATCCACTACTGCTCATCGTGGTACTCTGTGGTGCTGTGCCTTGTCTGGTAGCACCGGGACCTTTATTTGAGGAAGGTCTTGCGCTTCTCTCTAGATGACCCATGATGGCATCTATTAACACCGTAGGATCTTCACATAGAGGTATGTTGCACTTTTGTGCCTCCTCCTGAAGTTCCGCTATGGACATTTTATCTAGTTGAGCTCTATTCATTTTTGAAACGTAGAAGATTCGAGAAGATGTGGAGCTCAAGATGGCCGCCTAACGGCTGGATATTATCTGCGAGGCACGTGCTCCTGGCCGGGCTCTACAGGTGTGAATTCTTCCGTACACGAACGCGCGACACGAAATCTGCTACCGTAACCATAAACCCGACGCGACGCAGAAATTCACAGATGAATCCCACTTCTGAGAAGAAATGTAAGGGATTTTATATATATTTAAGACGGAAGGAAAGGAAGATAAATATCTTAGTCTTTTCTTAAGTGTCAGGAAATGGATTTAATCCGAGGATACTAGGATTTCTCAGATGAAGTGCGGTATTTATTAATAAGCAGGCGCGATCAATTTAACTGCGAACACTGACTTTATTACAACACTTACA